CTGAACCAAAGATGCTAACCTAATATCTACTAAATCAGGCTCAAGGATTAGGCTCAAGGACAGAGTATTATTTCAAAACTGTTAACTATTTTTCAGAAAGCTGTTGTGAAAATTCTGTATTCCTTGTTATCTCAGTATTTTATCCCTACGGGTCTACCTGCAAATTAAAACAGGGAAATGAAATCAAAGATGGACATCTAAAAGTGGAAACAGGCTAGGTCCCTGGTTTGTGCAACTAGGGTGGCACCCAGATATGGGATGAGTGTTTAAAATCCAGATCTAGAAGTGACAGTCAATACTTTGATTAAAGGAACTTGAAAAAGATCAAGTAGGCAGACAGCAGCCATGCATCTATCATAAGAGAGGACAGGGATAATATTAATTGATTCAGGGAAGAAACTACCAGATGATCACTCAAGGAACTTAATGACTTTACTACATACTCAAAAATTCCTTCTACCTGAGCATCCTCAAATAGCGATCTGAAGAAGACAAAGAATCCAACCATAGTAGAAGTACAAGTCCTCCTTTAATTATAGGTCTCTGCAAATAGACCTGTAATAATATCTCCCCTAATTTTTATAAGCATTCAAATGAAAGAAGAGCTTAGTAATTATCTTTTAAAAGCAGTGCAGGGAAAAGGAGGAGGGGAGAAGAAAGAAGCCCTGGAGAAATTTGCTAGCAAATATACCCGAAGATGCACATTCATAAGTTTAAATGAGGACTCTCTAAAGAATTGAATGCAGCTGTGCATAAAGCAACAGCAAAACTGAAGAGACACAACTGAACTTCTTCAACACAAGAATTTCCAATTACTTAATATTCCTTCAAGAAATCTAAAATTTTAATAGGCCCACAAAGGTTTAAAAATGCAATGGAGAAAAATAAACCTTAAATTTTATGACAACCTTGGAAGACAAGCTGTTCTTACGTAGATGCACTAAGTACTTACAAGAGAGAGGTTTGAGAACTACTTTAAAATTAGCTTTTTTTCCTCACTTCCTGAAGTGGAAAATTCACTATTACCTCTGTAAACATCTTCTGTTTTTAAACCTGAGTAATAGTTTCTAGTACTCTACTAGGACTACAAAGCAACGGTGAGGCAACCTGCATTTCTATAGAAAATTATCCTGCATTATTTAAGTTTTGTCAGTTAAATACAGAAAGCAAGTTGTAAGTGTTTCTCTGACAAGTACCCACTAAACCATGTCCCGAAGCACTATGTCTAGACAACTCTTAAATACCTCTAGGGATGGGGACTCCAGCACTGCCCTGGGCAACCCATTCCAATGCCTGAGAACCCTTTCAGTAAAGAAATTCTTCCTAATATCCAATCTAAACTTCCCTTGGTGCAACTTGAGGCCATTTCCTCTAGTCCTATCACTTGTTACTTGGTTGAACAGACTGACCTCCACCTCTCTACACCCTCCTTTCAGGTAGTTGCAGAAAGCGAGTTAGAAACATGACAGAAAAATACTCGAGGTTCCTTTGTAAAAATACAAGTTATGACATAACTTCTGAGTGTTTCTGTGCTCAGAAGTGCTCAGACTGACAGCGACAGCCACATAAGACACATCTAAGATCTGTTCCAAGATCCATGGTGATGAGAAGTACCTTCCCATTACTTCATACTTCTACCATCTAGGCTACAAAAGCATCCATTTCCTGCCAATAAAGAAAAAGCCAAACCCTCACATTATCGTTCTCTGCAACGTATTTTCATACACAAAATTACTGGAGCCATGCATTCAAAAAGTAGTGAAGTGGGCAGGGAAGCTATGATAGTTATGGTAATCCCATTAGATGTCACAGGACAGAAGGTAAAAATAATAACTATTCAAAATTGATAATTTATTTTAAAAAAAAATAAATGGAGACACAAACAGTCTACACATTCATTTAAATTATACAGGAATATTCCACTTAACCCAGTAAAAAAAAATGCCCAAAAACTACCACCAACAAAATCCTTAAGATTTCTAAGAAATGGAAATTCTAGGTATGTCCATGTGTTTAGAGACACCTTTATAAACCAGGTAGGAGAAACCAGAAGTCTATTGTTTTCCTACAGATAAGCTAAACAAGTAGAATACTGATTTTACCCCTCAGTTTCACCCCATTTAATTCACCACAAATACCATCACATCTATAAATATAAGTAAATAAGCAGTGGTGCTTCATGCCTGTTTTCACACAAAGTAAGAGAGCCCAATAAAGCACATACAGACAATTAAATACACCTTCAGCTTTGCCTCTTACATATTTTGCTTCTAAACATTACAAGCAGACCTAGACCCTTCCCTCCTTCCAGCACTACATTGCACTTATTTACTTTTCCATGCTGTCTAGATGGGAAATATAATTTGGGAGGAAGAAAAGAAAGAAGACTGGCTTCTCAGTCATCCTAGTACAGAAAGTGCACAAACAGAATCTGGAAAGCCTGTGTGGCTGGAATATGTCTAGTATTGACAGAACCTTGATACAAATTAACAAAAATTTTGACAGTTCAGTTTTCCAAACAACATTTTGCCAGAAGTTTGTAGCTTGACCAAATTTAGGTCAAAACCAGCAAAAGACAACTCCATACTGCTTTAAATTCAGTTTAAAATCAGAATAAGGAAAAATAAAATATTTTTTTCTTCTAATCCTCTTTTCTTAACCTTTCTAAATTTAAATTAAAAGCTTACCAAAATCAATACAACTGGCATTAAAGGTCACCTTCAATCTAAATTTTGGCAAAACTACAAGTAACTGGAAAGACATTTTCGTAAGGCTTATATAGCCTTATTAACTGGCAAAGATAGAAGTACCATATATAAGGATGTTTTCGTCTCATTAAGGGACAGCCAGCCTTTCATACTACCTACAAAGACAGAGAGACAATTTCTTACAAATGAGATAACACACCTTCAAATAAATCTCTTCTACCATAAGACTGTGATCCCTTTAAACAGACAGAATAATGGTACTGCAATAGAGACAAATCAAGCATGAAGAAGACAGATTTATCTTAATTTAACCTGAACGTACATTTCCTGATGTTTACATTTTTTCTATGAAAATTTACAATTCTATTAGCATTAAATAATTTTATAATAAATAAATCAGTAAAAATGGGATTTCTAAAGTTCTGTAATTTGGCAGATCCTTTGTTGGCTACTTATTATGTCTGCACAAAAAGCAATGTTTCTAAAACTAGTCAGCAATAAAGATTCACAGAGTAGATGTAAGTTTCTACCTTACAAATCAGGTATTGAAATGTTTGCAAGTAAAACTAATTTCTATCACACTACTTGGTTTTCCAATCTTCTTACCAGAGCATAAGGCAGTATATACTTGTAATAGGCTAAGTAAACATCTCTTGAAATAAGCATAAAGTTAGATTTTTTTATCCTATGATAAGCTTCAATATTAACCCTTTTTGTTCTAATACCCCACAAAAACTTAAATTTAAGTGGAAAGTCGCTGCTAATGTTCACATTCCACCTTTTTTCCAAAATGGTTCATTGAGTTTTAAGCAGTATCTTCACATGCCTACAACATACTAAAAGAAATTCAAAATGGAAAGTTTCTGCAAACACAAAAATCAAGCCAAAAGAATTTTTAAATACACAGTGCAAGTAAAAAAAAAGGCTGAAGACAAATTGATATAAAAATCAGTATTTATGTAAAAAAATAATGCATTGCATATTGTAAAATCAGTCAATAACAGTATTCACCTTCACACAGATTTCTAGATTTTCAGACTTTAAAAGGTTACATAGCAAGGAAAAGAAACTAACTACATGCAAGGCAGACTCCTTTCTAGTTTCCATCCCAGAAATTTACACCCTGAGCCAGCAGGGAGATTAGGAGCAGAATATAAACTATGCTTACAACGGAGTGTGTTTTTCTACTGCTAAAGCGTTCATCCAGCTCACATGGATCTGGGAGTCAGAGCCTGCCTGCCTTTGACAAAGAAACAGCTACAAAAATTAAGTTTCTAAAATGGTGTTGGGATGCAGGTGCAAGTCAATGAGTGGATCCTCTATGTTCAACACACAGGAACAGATGAAGATCTCAGTTCAACAGGTTACCCAAGTTCAAATATACTTCACAAATACATTCCATACCATGCAAGTCTAAATAATGTCTTACTATAACACTAGAACTCAGCCTTTTTCTTCCATGTTTTTCTCTGAAAAAAAGTTTATATTACCTAAAGAGAACATTTTTTTTTTCACCAAGATAACTACAGGAAGTATAATCTTACCTGCTGTAAATCAGTATCACCCTAACAACAGGAATGTATTCATGTAATTGAGGGTCTGCCTCAAAACTATTTTAAAGCCATGTTATTAAAAAAATATGGTAACAGGATATACTCTCTAAGAAACTCATCTAATATATAGTCTGATGAAGTATCAGAACTCTTATTACAGCTCTTCACTTTTAGGTACTAAATACTCTATAAGAATCATCAGGTAATAATTCTTAGTAAGGAAATACAACAGCAACAGCTTTCCACTGTTTGGGTTTTTTTTTCCCCTACTTCTAAAATGCCCTATAAAGCTGCAAAACCATGTAATTTTTAAAAAGTCTTGTAAGACAGACAACTTCATACTGAATTTTTGCTAAAAACCACCTCAATTCTGCTGTATATTTTGGCCATGATGGCTTAACAATGTTGAAACAAATGCTGTATATTAAAAAGTCTCCATATCTACAGACAGAGAAAACTAGTATCACATACTAGTTATTAATTTCTCAGAAAATCATATTTATAGTGTGCAGTTCACATCTAAGATAAGTGAAACAAGATTGTCAAAACAGTACTTCAACATGTAAGAGATGAACATATAAAGGCACATACAGATTGTCAATGATTATATCACATTTCTTTGAAAACAGAGTATTTCCTGCACTTGTAAACAACTTTGTTTACATAAAGGCTCACACCTTTAAAGTGAGGTTAGTGCTGCTGACTCAGTTATTGCTACATTCACAGTTTAACAGAATTTTAGACAATATACGAGGTACACTCACAAATAGAGCCATCTTCATTTCTTCCTTGTTCATTTCATCATTAGATAACTGAATTATGCAGACTAAAACTACTGACTATAGAAGTCAGTAACACCCAAATCATGGGATCCAAGATAAACATTAGCAGTGATTAAAACGCAAAAGAGCAAAAAGTCACCTTTGCAGAAAAAAAGTTTCTGTTCTTCATTACGTGAATATTTCTTCATTTTTATGAATGATAGTAAACTTTTATCTGGGCACATTAAGAGCCAACTCAAGCCATATTAGAATTTCTGCACCTTTTGACCAGTATGTTAATTCAGTCTCTTGATTTAACAGCTTGGAGTAAAAAAATCACCTTCCCTTTGATCTTCTGGCAATCAAGTCTCTTATGCTTTTTGTTAGCTGCTTTATGAACACTTTGTATACTCTTCCACAGTACGTATGCATGGTTTTCCGTAATTCCAGTTCTAGGGGCTGCAACAGGGAATGAACCAGATCATCTCCAAATGAATACTGTAAAGAGGTTAAGAAAAGAAGATTAAAGGTCAATATGGAAGTGTCATTATTCAGTTATTAAGTGGTTTTATAAAAAAACCTTTGAATATCATATTTGCCTTCTATAAGGTTTATTAAATGTTTTCGAGAACCCAGAGAGCTTCTGAATGCAATATTTAAAAAATACCTCTAAATTAGAGAAACATTCTCCAATTGCTTTCAATAAGCCTAACAAGGGAGATTTTTTTTTTTTTTAATGTAAGCAAATGAGAACATCCAGAGAGGCAAGGAGGAAATTTTAAATTACCTTATTAAATTAAAAATTTACAGATCTAAAATTATTTCTGGTTATTCGTTTGCTGGACAGTAACTTTCTTGAATGACATATAACTTTCAAGCAATACGATTTTTATCAAATTATAATGAAACAACAGTCTGAAAAGTGGTACTACTGAAGTTTCATTAAACTGAATGATGGTCAAACACACACTATGTTTAACATGGACATAAAATAAAGAAGTCATTAATTTAACAGTGCAGTATTTTTTATAAACAAATGATAAGCTAAAACAGCATTTCAGTGTAACATAACTTTGTTCATCTTATTACTACTGAATCAGCAGTGTTTTACAGACTTTCTCTGACATATTCATAAACCAAATGGGATCATAAATAAAAATAAGTAATTTTTTCTTCTGTTTTTGACAATGCTCAAAGGAAACAAAGAAATCATATTTTTATGGAAACACGTTCATTTTCCCTGCAATGTATTCTCAGACCCCCAAAAGTACTTTTCTTCATTTTTATATCCATATGACAACATGTAATAAAGCACCATTAAAATATACTATTGATTTTTGAAGGTTATACACACACAATAGCCTGCTACATTAAAATGTGCATCAGTGCTAAATTTTACAGCTCTTCAGTGAGTATACTGATATAGTGATAAATAGTTTATTAGATGACTTATTTGCAGAATGAAAAGAAGTCACTGTGCTTAGTATTTAAAGTAACAGCAACATATTAATACACATGAATCTCCAGAAAAGGTCAAAACACAGTATAAAAAAAAAATTTCAACAATCTAAATCTAGCTGAAATTAAATGTTAAAATGTTGCTGTAAATACATACGAACTTTGGGAAGATGGATTTTTTCCCACATTTTAAAATCTCCAGAAAAATTAAGCTTCTGGTGATCTCCAAATGCCCATACAGTTTACTAGATGTATTTATTAAAGGTATGGGAATAAAGCCTTTTAAATAGACATTGACAACTACAGGCAATGTTTTAGAATCCCAACCTAGACATAGTTTACACTATATTTCAAAAGATGCTTATCACAAAAGGAATACACTGGAATTCTATCCAAGCAGGAAACAAAAAATTGGTGAAACACTTCACAACACTTAAAGGAGAAAAAAAATTACTTTTTTGCAATCAAGGTAAGTATCAACAAAACCTAAAAAAATACATGCAGTGCTGTAGATAAAAATATAGAAAAAAAAATACTTTGCACAAGTAGAATGCTGAAAACACTTACATTTTTTATGGCTTCATAGACAGCCCTAAAAGTTGGTTGTTTATCATCATGGTAAACACCTCTGTTTCCATGAAGAATAAATATACCTTCTTCTTCAGCTTCCTTACAATTGCTTCCATAGATGCAGTGGTCAGGCCGATAATTCCATTGGCATGGAAAGACATAAAGGCTTTCTGTGCAGAAAAATTAAAACTCTGGATTAAGTATCAGAATTGTTTCCAGAAATACATTAATAATCTCTTTTGGTTTTTTTAAAGGCTACTTTGTATATTTCTGTGCAGTTGTTTTGAAACCTAACAGCTAGTTAGGATCTAGCAAGCTCCAATGCTGTCTCTCAAAGTAAACACTTTCAGAAAAAAAAAAAAAGTGAGAAGTCACTTGAATATTTTCACTGAAAAGTCTGCAAAAACAGTGTATTCCTGGATTTTTGAACATCATAGAAAAGATGAACTTTGTGATGTTAGATTTAGAATCAATGTGGACTTACCTGGATTGTGAAAAAACATAATGTTCAACAGATCCTGATCACCCCATGTTATGTTCAACTTGTACTTCTTCAGCAGTGGCATAAGAATTTCTCCCCACTGCAACCGGACCGGTGTCATATCGTTCTATTAAACAAAGCAAAACAAAATGTCCTAAAAAACTGCAGTAATCTGCTTCTCAAAGTTACAAATCTCAACTGTATAGACAATTTCTTCCTTTTAAACAAATAAGCACATCTAAGGAAAACAGTTATGGACTATTATTTCCAATATGCTTTATTTCACAATTATTATTTTATAAGGAAAATTATATGTATGTCCTACTTTTATTTAACTGTCATATTAAATTTTTGTCTTCAAGATTTCCCTCAAACATCTTAAACCAAGAGTTCTAAGAAATAGGAAGGTTTTTTAATATAGCAGTAGGATCTAAAACAAAAACTCCATTTAGGTGATGCATGCAAGTAGACAGGCACTATTTAAATACCCATGTCACACAATTTTTCTGCCTATCACAGAGTGATAATATACACAGGTTTTACAGTTAACTTCAAAAATTCAAAACAGATCAATGTAAAATTAATTATTAAATAGTTCCAAACACATACAGTTAAAAAATACTGCCTACAAAGCAGCATACAAAAACACAGAAATCCTTCAAAGGTTTTCAAAAGAATTTTCACTGAGTTGAAGTAATCTTTTTAGTTACTGAACTTGAACTTCCACAGCAAAGGCACAACTTTTCACTAGCAAAAGGCAGTAAGACTCTAAATCAAAAGCTGTTACTTAATTCCCAAATTCTTGATTTAGCAAAATCACTTCACAGGAAAAGGAGTTCTTCTAAGGTTTTGGCTGAGGAGGTGCTACCTACACTGAACTCCACATTACCAAAGGAGGTACCATCTGCAGTGTCACAGTTACATGTTCTAAAGCTAATTTTCTTATCTTTACACCATGTTTAAGCCCAACCAGAACAGAAAAGGAACAAGGCTGTTCCCCCTGTACCTTCTACTTAAGTTGGGAGACGATGGAACACCAGTAAGTCCCAAAGCAAGAAAATTCCTGAACAAGTACATGATTGTACTCCTGATTCTCTTCTACCCAAGTTGGAAAAAAAAAATAATAATTAAAAAAAAAATTAGAACTCCAGTATGGTTTTGATCTGTATACTGAAACACCATGTTAAGAAATAGAAAATATTACCAGGAGTTAAATATTCAGTTTTAGAATTATAGTACCATAGACTTTCTTCTCCAAGCTTTCCACTGACAAACTAGAAAGTGCAAAAACTAGCAGTTCAGTTTTTAGTCTTTCCTTGAATCATTTCAGACATCAAATACAAAGGGCTTTCAGAACTGAAGACTACAAAAAGAAATACTATCGGATTTCAGACAAGAATTAATACAAAAAAGATCTATAGCTTATATTATGTAAGAAGCCAAATGGAATATAACAGTCTCTTCTGTCCTAAAAAATTTATGACTATGATTGCTTGCAAATATTCTATGAGAGCAGGCATAAGAAATGCTCAGGTATAAGAATTCTTTTCTATCAAGAATTATCATTAGACTCAGTGCAATGTGTTTAAACAAAAGAAAACACGCTTAACACCAAGCTAAAACCTTAAAAAAAGCAAATCAATCAGGTTGAATTACAGTGTGTAAAGATAACTCCCTCACCTGAACTTTGTCATCCACAGAATACTGACCTAAGGTTTAAATTTAGACTCAATGCCAAGAATTAAAAACAGAATTAAATTGCCTCACTGATACCAGGGTAACAATAAGAGAATACACAGCAGTAAATAAAGTTTTAGAGCAACTCACAGAAATATTACTTTAAAATGTTAAAGTCATTATTTCATATAATTTTCAGTTAAATTGTATAGCTTTAATAGCAGTGAAATCTGGAGTGTATCCCAAGGAGATGCAAAGCAGGTATCAGCATTCATCATAGTCAAGCTGATACCTCACGCAATACTGCTTGACAAATAGTGCTATCAGATTAAAGAATTGGAAGTTTTAATATCTCAATAACCTTTGCATAAATAGAAAGGAGTTATATATTAATTTATTAACACTGATGTATAATGAAACCAGTGTAGGAATCACCGATCAAGAGAGAATATTTGAATAGTTATACAACCCCCTTCTTTAAAATTCTACTGTAACTTGCAATGAGGTCAAACAGCAAGAGAAGTAGAATCCTCAAGTTCAATCAAAATTTATTACAGAACTGCTTTTCAAAAGTTACTCAAGTAAATATGAGAAAAATAACTCCATGATAACTCAAAGATTTTGAGAATATAAACCTCCTCTCCAATATTCAAGAAGTCACAAAGAAGGTTAGAGGTTTAAGAAAAAGACCCACAATGGTAGTGGCCGTTTCTGTGATGCTATTAAGCTGATACAGACTGGCTCTTATGAAGCCTCAAAATTCCATTTTTTTGAGTGGAAGAAAATGTGTAAGAACAAAATATACATAAGGACATTAAGATATTCTCCTACATGGGTTTTGGTACTTTTGTTTTGGTTTGGATTTTTGTTTAGATGTTGTGCTTTAATTAGTTTGGTTATTACTGATTTCTGTCCCAGAAGACTTCTGCCTGGCCAAGGCTGAAGTCAGACTTATAAGAGCTGTCACATTTAGCCTGTAGCAACCTAGAATTACATCTCTCTTAGTTCTAGTAAGAAAACACAAAGTTGAGGAAAAATTCTTAAATTGTACAGCATTATCTAAATAAACTGCAGCTGTGTCCCACAAACAGTTGACCAATTTAGATTTCATCAGTGCCAAATGAGAGCAAGCCCTCTTCCTTCTGGTGACATGACTCTATCCTGTTCTTGCATTAGCAGCGTAGTGCTAACACTTAGTAGATGTTTTTGTGAGCTGATTTACTTCACTAACTCAGCAGAAGGATTTCTTTTTTCTACTGTTACCAAATTTAATTGAATCGTAAAAGGGAGCAGCAAACACCAGAGTCTAGGAGCAAGTAAATAAGAAAAGCAGCTGCTAAGAGATGGGAACCTTCCTTTTAGAAGCAATTAGCTTTTGCACAGGCTCACCATATTTCTTGGAACCACAGCTTTAAGCACTACCAAATGGGTTTGTTTTTTTTTTTTAAAAGCAGCCTAGGTCATAGAAATTCTCTGAACTTTGATTTTTTTTTTTTTGTCTAACACACACTCACAAACCCCTCCTTTGCACACACTATCTGGAGTTTTGTTTGCAGCTTGTTTGATTTTCTAAGAGTTCGTTCCTTTCCATGACTGCCTGTGTCTCAGGCATCACAACAACCAAGTCTCTTCATAAATCTGACAAAAGTCATTGTTCTCTATTCACAAAGCCTCACTGGTTTAGGACTTTTTGTTAAAACACTGTATCTGCGGTATTTGCTACATCTCTTCAAGTTTAAAAGTATCTACATCTATACACATACAAACATTAAAAAAGTCACCTACCATTACTTCTGTCTCCTAAATAGTTTTGCATGTTTTACATTTCCACTCTCTAATTGCTACTTAGCAAAGACAACAGACAGGCACTGTTCATCAGAAGCTTCATTACCAATTCTAGTCTTATATTCAGTTATACACTGTTTAATGACCACACTATATTAATAACATATATGTGCATGCATATATATCTGTATATATGTATACATGTGTGCATATATATGTATATATACAGTGCATATATTTGTATTGCACATATACATATAGCCCCAAAACACATAAGACAAATAGGATAGTTAGGACCAGACTAACAACTTCCATTAGGCACTGTAGATAGCTGAGTAACTACGATCCTTGTCTGAAATTAATCGACCTGACAGTCCTGATAAGACTGAGGCTTGAATAAATAAGTGGATAAAAGACACCTTAATGCTGGAGCAACACACAGAACTGCAGGTTTTCTGCTACCCACTATAACCATTGGCTAAAGTCTCTGGTTCTCCTTTTTATTTATTCATCTTCTAGTTCCTCCTGAATCTACAAATCAATGTGACAACAGAACAAAGATGCTTAAAGGCCTCAAGCAGCTCAGACTGTAATTTCGGGATGAACAAACTACAACAGACAAAGAATCCCCACTTTTAAATCCCTCATACTGGAGGAATAACCTGACTCAAAACTTACACTGTTTAGACAATTGCTCTAGCCACTAGACAGTCATACAAAAAGGTCTACGGGCAGCTTTTGAAAAAGGTACAAAAATTCCGAGAACGTATATGCTCCTTGAGGAATCCGTTAAGTCTCATGAATGAATATAAAACAAATTCAGACCTTCCTATAAGACAATGAAGCATTTTCTAGTTTTACTGTATTTGACTGGAACAGTTAATGAGACACAATGTGGGACAGTACCTGTAAGGTCCAAAAGCATCTGCAGTGTTGCTGGCAAGGCATTTTAGGACAGTCCCCACCCCTGAATTTGGTTTACGTCTCTTCCAAAGGCTTGAGACTAGTAGCTCCTGTGCCATCAGTAACCAGGGAAGCCACACTCAGACCCACCATGTCGAGTCTCAACTACTCTAAATTATTTTCAAATTTTTGCTGAGGCTTGCAATTTTTCATACTGACCAATCATCCTTTTAAGACATTCAAGGAACCTGAAGATGAAAACAAAGTCTCTGCAAGTCTCCCCAAACAGCAGTTTCTGTAACAGAGGTTGTGCATCTTCGGGCCCTGTGATGCTCTGCAAGCTTGCGGGACCACACTCTAGGTACTAAACAGTTCCCCTGCTGCGTGCTCTCTAAGCAAAGATCTCAATAATCAATATTGGGTAACAGAAACTCAATTCCTGCTTAGTCATCACCCAGGGGGCAATATCTAGCAAGAATATGAGAAAATGACCAAGAACTATTGTTCCTAAGTTTCAGGTGACCTAGTAGCTCTGGTTAGACATCCTCAAACTGTGCTGACTGATACCACAAGCCTGATACTATCGGACACTTCTCCAGTGTGTCCGGTATGTGGAAGGACTAAGTCAGCAGCGTGGGTTAGAAATTATGAAGTAGTCTTCTGTTGGAAATAATTCTGAGCCTTCAAATACCGAAGTCCCCACTGATTAAGTACGTTGACCACTGGCAATAAGGTCTAACACGGAGTCTTCACAAGTCAGTCACACTGGAGAAAGTATCTATCTCTACAAATTCGAAGTTTGAACAAATAACAAACGTCACACTTCCCAGAAACATACAAAGGCAGAGGCAAAACACCTGGAATGAATGCCAACACCCAGATGCTAGATGTACCACCTAAATGTATAGCACTTGCTATACAAGGGCCTGAAAGATAACTGGGGCAAGATTTTAAATCAAGAGGGTATCCAAAGAGGGCATTTCAAAATGCTTCAGCTGAACCAGAAAATCCATATATATCAAAACACTATGCATCCAAACACTGTATTTGTGTTTCTTGCTCAAGATAATCAGACTAAGACTCCAGGAAAGATGTAGAGGATGATGAAAGTGTGTGGGGGGGGAAATGTATAGGAATGGAAGGAAAAAGATGAATTTCATGCAAGAAATAAGTTCTCAGCAGTCATGTTAAAAGCTACATACACACACACACAAAACAGAGAACACTTAATCTTTTTTATTTTTTTTACCTCTTACTATCAAAAGAGAAAGAATATTTCTTTATGTGCACCACTAGTCTCAAATGTTTGAGGATTAGTCACAGTGCACATGCAAGCATTGGAAGACATACAAAAGCAAAGGTCAGAAGTATATATGCATCAGACACAGAAAGGGAAGTTTAAGTTTGAAGTGACATTAATACCCGGTAAAAGGATGCCAAAGAATGATGGCTAATGATTAAGGGCAGAAAATGCTGTATTTTTAACATTTAAGACTATTGAAGTGGAGCACGGGAATGGGTTAATTGTTTTTTAAAATTTTTGTTAACTAAAGCCACCAAAAAGGGCTTTGAATCACGTGCTTTCCTATTGGGAAGCTTTGCTCTGTTTCTGGCTCCCTTTCTCAAGTGCCCTTTCATAATTTTGAATATTTAGTATACTTGCACAGCCCTGGGTAGCTCACTCCAATCTCAGTTCCTTTCCCTCAACTGCATGAATGCTAAGCCTGCAACTCATCAAGCAGACTTGCTTAGTACAGTACATACTGAACAATTTGAGAAACACTGTTAAAATGAATGTTTTCAGGACAACTCAAGACGGTTTTTTTGTTCCAATTCCCCATACCAGTTACGACACACCATCTTCCTCACTACAGAAAGAAGTTCAGTGGCCCATTTAGTCACAAACCGTACATCGTGTTAAGCATACTGAAGCTTTCCAGCAGGATCACGAGGAAAGTATATGGATCTGTGCCTTGCCTTACAGTTCAACTCTTATAAATCACAGATATTCACCCCATAATAAAGAGCAATCATAAAAAAGCACTTCCTCCAAAGCTGGTTTTGGTTTAGCAATCTGACATGTTTCATTGCCTAATAAATACACAACATGGGAACAACAGGAATATGTAGCAGATGTTTTCAGGACCTGGAAAATACTCCAGACCTCTAGAACCAAGGGAAAGTGGCAGTATTGCATTTTGAATTTCAAAATATTCATTAATTATTTTGCTTACTTAGATCTGTACATGTAGACTTAAATTTTAAGAAACCACTGGTTTTAGGTGCAAAGAAGAAAGGCACTTTATATTGTCCTCTAGAAAACTAGTTAATTTAAAAGACAATTTTAGTATCCTAGATGATCTCTATACTTTTGAAAATTTTAACTCTGATTTTAGTAAAAATGCATAAAGTTTCCAATAAATTGATAACCTAAGTTGTACTGAGAGTCAAACCACAATTCTGTCCCAGTATGAATTAAAAACCAACCTTATCTCAGAGTTACCACACTACAAATAATTCACTACACAGAAATGCATTGCCAGGTTAAGATACACACAGTTTTAAGGATAATTCGGGACTTTGTTTTGTTCTGATTCCCCATACTATTTATCACACACAATCTTCCTCACTACAGAAAGAAGTTCAGTGGCCCACTTCACCAGAAACTGTACAACATGTTAGGTATACTGAAGTGCGCCAGCAGGATCATGAGAAAATATTTTCATTTCTCCAGATGATATAATCAGGAAAACAAACAAATAACAAAGTAGACAGTGCAAGATTCCACTGAATATATATATAGAGAGATGTTTTCTTCTTGAGGAAAGTACAGTTACATACTATAGCTACTGTAACTTTCTACTTTAACTACAGCCAAGATAATCCATTTTCCATTTTTCTTAAATTCTCTGCATTTCCATAACAAAAGTACATAGCAAGAATGTTAAGATGAAAGCTAAATCTTTCTTAAATTGGAAATGGGGGAGAAGTAATGTCTACTGCAAGTTTATATTGCCCCTCTTATGGGTGCACTTTCCAGTAGTTTTTGACTGCATTATTATTTTTCCCTAATCAAACTTCTCAAACAAAGAAATACTTTTTCTCCTAGCATAATCACACAGCACTGCTTTTGTACTTCTGTTTCCAGTACATAAGAAAAAACTTTCCATCTGTGAAGCAATGACCATTTCTGCTGCTGCACACACTGCTTTAGTAAGTACTTTCATGATGAAATTATTTCTCTACAAGAACTGATTTCAAAATAAATCAGAAGATACTTAAGGTGATAATCACCTGGTTACAATTTAAAAGATCAAAATTTGGAAACAGTACAGCTAAAAACTTACTAAATGTTTTAGCACCACCTCCTGGTCATACTATTACACACATTTTTTAAGGTAGTTTACAGTATACATTAACTGTTTTCCAAGATCTCTACAGTGAAGAAAAAAATATCAGAATACCTATTAACAAATGTAATTTACAGCAGACTGTATCAAGTCACAGGATCTCTCAGAACTAAGGAACATTGAAACAATCAAGCACACTTAAAATTCAGGAATTCCACGTCTTACCGTGAACAACATTTAAAAAACACAAGTTAGATACCATTTTAAACACAGCATATTTTTACGGAATTATTCCAATTACATGAAAAATATTTTGAAAAAACACTGTCCCACATGAATTTGAAACAGGATGAGAATTAAAAGATGTAAAACCACAGAAAATGCAATAAAGGCAACAGACATACCTTGAAATACTTTCTTCTGATACGTGTCATATTCATCAACATGACTCCAGAATTTATTCCAGTTACTCCATAATAGGGATGTCTAGCAAAGCGATTATACCACCCAATACGAGGTTCTTCATGTTCCGGTGCCATCGCAGCAATTTGTGTGGAGTTGAACTTTCCCAGAAAAGACCAAATATCATCAACAGGTCTCAAAAACAGGATATCAGTATCAACATACAGTAGTGAATCCACATTTTTGAGGATTAACTGTGAGGAAAAGAAATTTAAAAACAAACTTTTAAATTTTATTGAGCTTCTCTTCATAAAACAGAAGTTGCTGCCATTACACAGTAAAGTTTCATACGTTTTTGTCATATGTAAATAAATTCACTTTAGATTGACAGTTTGCAGTCAATAAATTTGTCATTATTCTCATCCTCTCATTGTGGAGAATCTGTGTAGTAAAACAGAGGTTTTATATAGAATAGTAATGCAAAGCCCCTCAGTCTACATTTTATATCCTGGAGCTCCTCAGGAGTAGGTTGCAGGCCGGATGAAAAATTACCATAACAGGAGCTCCTATCTTCCTCCTATTCCCTTGCTTTCCTATGCATCTGATCAAACAAGGGAGGGGTGTAAAGGAACCCCAGAAGAGACCCTATTTGGGAGGCAGAACTATAGAATCATTTAGGTTGGAAAAGACCTTTAAGATCATCAGGTCCAACCATTAACCTAACACTGCCAAGTCCACCACTAAACTATGTCTACATGGTTTAGCACCATGTCTACACATCTTTTAAATACCTCCAGGGATGGTAGCTGCCATTGACATAATTCACCTAGCCTGAAGTATGATTTCTGAACTGTCTTACATCAGCAAAGAAAAGGCTGCACAAAACACTCTGGCAACGATAGCCCATTTCTTGTTTCATTTTCTCTAGCACTTCTCAGACCTGGGCATGCAGGAAACTTTCCATGTAAATGAGTAGATGAGGCATGATTAGTTCTTCTTACCTTTGAGAAGATGACACAACCTACACCACTCACTGAGGATGCCATAATGCAGCAAGTGGGAAAAGGACTTTTATTCCATAGTGTATTAGTACCACAAAAGGTTAAATTCTGAGCTTTTTAGGATGTCACAAAAGTAAATTTTAGGAGTAGCAGTTCTTCATTTACAACTAAGCAGAAATTAGATTAGCAAGGACAACTTGATGCTTTCTAAACAGACTTCTGTAATGTTCTATTACAGAATAACTTACTGGCAAGAATAGCCTTTGCGAAGCACATGGTTTAAAGAGTTTCTTCCATTCTGCTGCACTCTCAGTTGGAAATGTTATTGGATATAAAGTGTAATTAACTTTTCCTTCATAGGGGAAGTCATCAAGCTATGTGAAAAGAAAATACCACAAAAATTACTTCAATTCTATTACAAAAAAAAAAAAATCAATCTCCCATTCAAACTGATAATTGAACACAACCCCAACATCTCCCTTCCATGAAGAAATGTTTCTTCAACTACAAAAAATCTCAACTATTCAAAATACTTGAACAAAAACTGTCACCTGCAGACCGCTATGAAGACGACACATCATATCAGATCATATACAAAAGTAAGAGCTAGTAAAATACATTCGTATTTACAAAAAGTAAATACATCAGATAAAACTTCTTCCCCTCTTAAATAGTTTCCACAGGAGAAATACTAATTAAGTCCTTCTCAATTTAAAATAACCTTATCAAATTTTTGACACAGTTACTGTTCATGTTACATTAGTGTATATTTATATTAGTATGTATAACATGTTAATGTCATAGTTAGCATGACATTTTAAACACAAAAATAGTAAAACCTCCACAGCTATATACCAGCCAGCTCCTAATACTGTCAGTTCAGTCATAATGTTGTATTCATTAACTGGGAGTTGCTAAAATTAGACATAACCATATCTACCATTTTCAAAGACTGATGTTTCACTTTGTTTAGACAAAGTAAGGCTGACTTATACTTACTGTACACACAGGGACAAAAAAGGACAGATCTCTATTTTCTCTTGTACAACCAACTTTAAATAAGTTCATACAAGATAAATGGTTTGTGTTCAGAAGATCAGGCTTGTATTTAACAGATTTGAGGTGACAAATCAGTAGTTTTGCTCTGTGTCTATGAAAAGCTTTGACATCAGCAACTGGCATTTACCAGCAGAAAAAATAAAAAATAAAAAATTCCCATCCAACATTACAAAAGACTTGCATATTGCCTTATTTTTAGCAGAAGAAGTAGCAGAAAAACTGTTACGTATTACTCCAGGTGTACTACAAATTGATTAAATAAATTATTTGGTACTTACTATGTCTTTGAAACTCTTATGCAACTGGTCCTCAGCAAAAATATGAAACTGCAGAGGTTTGATGCTGAAAATAATGGCTGATCTCAACATAGTAACAGTCTCCTCCAGTCTTTCACCACAGGCAACCACTGCTAGATGCATTTTCTCTGAAGGATGTGGTTTCATATAATAGTATCTGATACAAAAATATTTTTTAATTTGACATTATTCCTAGCACAGACTTAAAGAAAAGCTCTATATACTGCAGCATGTAATTTAACAAAATCTCCTTTATCTTATTTAAACCAGCAAAGGATAACTCAAATAGGACATTCAAAACTACAGCATCACACCTCATATGTAGGCTTACGTTTAACTTCAAACTATTCTCATATTGACTCCCATCATCCCAGCCCACGAGGGAGAAACAAGGTATGGAAGAGCTATACAGAAACTAAACAAATAAACATCTGTTTTCTTAGTAATCTTACTATCCATTACTAGAAGGAATTCCACTAAAATAGCTACGTTAGAAGGAAGAGCATGTGAAGTTACATTGAAATGTTAAAGGCTGATAGCACACTAAGCCTACGCATGAGTTCACTCTCTCCTTTTCTTTGGACTCAGTACACAGACAGGTAAACGTTACAAATATAGCAGAGTTAAGCTCAACAACAAAAGTGAGATAATCCCTACTTTTAAGAAGTTCTGTTAAGAACATTTTTGAGTGATCTAGGCGTTTTGTCCATTTTCTGCCTCGGTAAGTCCTTTTGTCCAACCCATGCTTCAGGGCTTCTCCTCTAAGCACTGGCAAAATACAAAGAGCTTTCTCCCCTCCTTCCATCTTGCAGGAGCATGACTTGGTTTCGAAGGAGGTGAAACTAACAGCTCAAATGGCTGTGGGATGTCCTGGTGCTCAGAGTGGTTCTGGAAAATCACTCAGATATGCTGACCACACGCACTGCCCGTGTCCTTGGGACTAAACCACTGCGAGGTGTGGGGATTGGGACACCGTTTCTCCCTGAAGACAGCTGTCCAAGAGTTATGGTGAGAATTGCCTGGTATGTATTACACAGGGTACATTTAAAAGTATTTCATTATTTTGATACAATAGGCTGAAATTATCATCAGGTAAATACCCTTAGCTTGAAGGCAAACATAACAGGCATACTAAACCTAAACCTATGTTCTCCTGGATTTCATACATTTAATTAGTCAGAAAAGCTTCCAAAGGTTTTAAACATATGTCAACTCAAAGCCAAGATTCAAAACAATATTCTGTGCTTGAGTTATTCGCACAGACTATGAAAGGAGCGATGCTAATAGAACTAAGAGCTTCTGAAGGTTTAAATTACAAGTTTAATTCCAAGATATGCTGACAAAAAATTTTCTCAAGTTAGAAAATACTTTCTTAAACTAGTAAGAGTAGAGAAATGCTTGGCAAACATACCAGTCATTCTTAGAAACTTGCCAGAGAGAGAGATAATTCAAAACAGAACTTAACAGATGTGATTCTTAGCACATAATCTCCACCCAATTTATGTAACTAAAACACACTTAGATGCATACAAGTTTTCCTTTAAATTGACAAAAGATACTGTGCAAATATGCTTTTTTTCTTTAAGGCATGGAAGAGCAACACATATTATTTTGAGTTCCAAGAAGCAAACCATAAACAAAGATATCACTGTAAAACTCAAGTTTAATGTCATAAATTATGGCTGCATTTAAAAAAATATTCTGAGTATTAGAAGAGTTTAATGCTCTAGAACTAAAAAAACCCCAGCATCCCAGGGATTTAAGATTAATAAAATTTTACTGAGAACATCCAGTCAGTCTTAAGTCAAGGTTTAGGGCATTATTAAAAATCACAGGGATGAAAGACCTCACAGGTAGGATTCAGATCCAAAACAGGACACCTAAATGAAGATGCTGACATAGGAGATTGTGTCCCAAGTCTCATTAAAGCCAATGGAGATCTAGTGAGCAGGATATGAAGCACAGACAGCAATTCATCTTATTTCAAAGTAAATACCTAGGAGTTCATTCTATTTTTTAACATATGTATAGTGACATTTAATATGCTCTAGAATGTCTCACCTTGCTTCCAGGTGCAAGTGCAAAAGGACTGGGTGTCTCAAAGATCATGTTCTATCTACTAGACTTAAGGAGACTTCTAGAATAGCCAATTGCTTCTCAGCTAACACCTGCCATTTATTCCTCAGCAACTTAATGGCTTGTCACCCGGATGATTCTCTATGCTCTTTCAATTTTAATGACCGCTTAAGACCACTTGACATAGACACCTATATGCAGACATCTACATTCAGATGATTTAATCCACAGACTGAAACCTTTTATAAATCTTACAGCAAAATCTGAAAAATTACTTCAGGTTAACAGGAAAAAGAAAAAAAAAAGAAATAGAATCTTTAAATGTAATGAAGGCATGCTCGTTCAGACCTTTAGGCATAAAGTTAATTTAAACATTACACCATGTAGTGAGTAGCTAATGTAAAAAACACAAAGCAAGCTGAATGTGATGAGGGTAGCTGAAACCCACAAGTAAGGACACTGCTGCAGTCTGAACAAGCTGCAAGCAGCAGATTAGCCTCATCACTAATCCACACTGAAAAGGGAATTACAATAATTAAGCCCTGAAGTCAGGAGAGCCTACAATGACACTGCAAGGTCATGTGAGAAATAAGGGCACAATCTACACAAACTGCATAGCTGAAAGCCAAGTTCCTGAACCACACATAACACATGGCTTTCTGTGAATAAGGTATGATTAAAATTATGCCAAAGCAACTCTATAATGCACTGAGATTCAAACACTGTATTTTATTATTTCTACATCTAGTGAGAACTGCAAATAAAAGAACATTTCAAGTCACACAACAAAAAACAGACTGATCATATTATAAAGCTTTTAGTCACTTTGTTCGCACTATCCCTATTCTACAAGTTTCTGACTTCACAAGTTCAATTTTTTAAATCTGTGCTTTAAAATAATTTTTTGAAAAGGCAAAAATATATTTAGAAAAAGTTAATAACAACTGGGTTTTGGCTTGCACAATATGGGGAACAGATGGACTCAGATCCCTAAGTCCACAACACAAAGCTTTATCCCTGAAGCAGATGGAACAAGAAGCCATTGGAAAGAAGAAGTCACCATTCCCTCTGGGGCCTATCCACTAAGAGGGGGATGAGACATACTAGGTCTCCAAGACATGTTACAGCAGGAGAAGTTATGAGACTCCAGACTCCATTAAGAGACACCCTTTAGTGACTATAAGCTGCAACTGACTTCCCTGCATACAGAGTGCTGGAAATCACAGCCTCTCCTTTAATAATCAGCCCTCGTTGCTGCTCCACATCTCTCTCCACTCCCAGAGGGAAATTATTGCCCCATCTTCATCCAAGGGCACTAACTACTCATTCCCCTTGTGCCAATCTCCTCCTGCCAGCATCTTTCAACTCTTTTTCCTCTTCCTGCCACTAGGAGCAACATAAAGTTTAAGTTGTCCAGCAGAGTTTATCAGCTTGAGCTCTGCAGTCTCACCTTCAATATTAACCTGCCCTCCCACAGAGCCAGTTATCTATGCCACGACTCATCTCACTCCCTTCTTCAGGATTATGTCTACATGCCTTTGGTCCTTCCCCTAATTTCTTTCAAAATCATTCTCCCTCAGCTGATCCCTTCTCTACTTCTCCTTCCTAATTTTTTCAGCCCCTGTAGCCCTTTTCCCTGTCTTCCCTCTACTGCAGTTATTCATGCATCTACCTCACCAGAAGACGGGGAAAGGAAAACCTTGTTCATCTACACAGCCCCAGGTTGGACACAACCTAATGTCACAAGCTTATTCAGCAATACAGATTTTTTAGCAGTTCAGCAGCAGGCCTGACCATGAGCAAAATAAAATGTATTTTACAAGAACTGTAACTTGTCTGAACCTGAGCAAATTTGGTGTCAGAGTATCACAGCTCTGGTATCAGAACAACACCCTCATTGAGCCTCAAATCCAGGTTCAGAAAGTGTTAAGACACTTTCAAAAGTGAGGAGATACTTTCAAAAAAATGTTCAGAGGCAATGTGAAAAACACAACAATACTTTTACTTTATAAAAGTAAATTATTATCATAAAAGCAGATTATTATATACACATTTCTAATTACTAGTAGCCTGATGTTTTGGTGTGGGATAACTTAGTGGAGAAGAAAGCAAAAACAGAGTGAAATACAAACACTGTGTTTTAGTAAGGCTTCCGGATAGACTAACAAGGAAAACTTGAGAGTCCTAATTTCTAAAGAATAATTTAAAAAAAAATATAAACACCCTCTGGTAATTCAAATGGCAGTGCAAAGAATGTTCCAACTGAACATGCTGAGCAAGAAGCCATGACAGGGTTTGAGTGTGAGTGTTCAGGGACAAACAAGAGAACTTTATTTGTCCAAGGATGGTAACTACACATCAGTGGTTGGAACAGTAAAAATAAATTTGAGTGAAGTCCACACGTACTCCCATGAGTTTAGAAAACACGTTAAAAACAATCCACACTGACACTGTGAGAGCAAACACATATACCTTAAAACACGCTGTTCAACAGCAGCATAAGGTCGGGTACAAGCCTCGCCCTGAAGGATTTCTGTGTTGAAGTACAATCCTTCATTCTGTACTGATTAATTCTGCTTTGGCGTTAATAACCTCTGACAGAGGAACATAGCTGGATATGCTCAATGAATCTGCTGCAACAAGATTTTCCAGAGCCTGTCTGTCCAGATACTGCCTTATGCTTAAAGATGTACACCGTGACACACTGTATATTAAATTAGCATTTCTAAGTCAATTAATATTATTAAGTAATCATTTGCTAGTAAGCTACAGAGGTATCTTTTGATGGGTTGTACTCTTCTAGAACCTTCACTGCATCCCAGCTGAACTTCTTGGAAAAATCCCCAAACCCAAATGGTATAATCACTAAAAAACCAGCTCCACAAAGATCTTAGCTCTGGTCTCTACACTTGGCACCAGGGATTGCAGTGAGGGTTTCTGGCATACATGGAAGGTAGGGCTCTCCTATTCTTCTTCTTACTTAACACACTAAGAGCGCAGGTGAGAGGGCACCAAACCCTCAGAAGCACTCAAACATAAGGAATCCTGTATACTGCATACTACTCCATCTAATTTGTGATC